GTTTTGGAAAATATCAGCGTTTCGTGTTCGTTTTGACTTCGTGTGGACGGGGCCTTAATGTTAGAATACAGACTTTTATAGTCATACCTATTAAAGCAAAGTTATAATAATACAAAATAATGAGACAAAGTGATATTAATGCGATTTCAATTTTCCCTGCAGGATGAGTTGGAGCGCCTCCGGCCGCTCTGCTACAAGAACGCAGACGTCTTCCTCCTCTGCTACAGCGTGGTTCGCCCCTGCTCCTTCCGCAACCTCACCAACAAATGGGTTCCTGAGATCCACCAACTGTGCCCCGGCGTTCCCCTGGTCCTGGTCGGTACCCAGCTGGACCTGAGAGAGGATGTGGACGTTCTGATCCACCTGGCGCAGAACCAGCAGCGGCCGGTGAGCACCGAGGAAGGCCAGAGGCTGGCCCTGGAGCTCGGGGCGGTGGGCTTCGCGGAGTGCTCCGCGCTGACCCAGAAGAACCTGAAGGACACTTTTGATGCAGCCATCCTGGCCAGCTTCCAGCAGACGGAGAGTACCGTGGCCCAGCAGCAGAGGCTGACTCTGAGGAAGAAGACCCCGGATAAGATTAAGAGCCTGTCAGAGGGATGGTGGCGGAAGCTCAACTGTCTGATTGGAGAGGGGAGCTGTGAACTCAAATGAGAAGTTAGATGTTGTTAGTTTTTATTTTAGCCAGCTGTTCAGTGAAGGCATCACAACCCATGAGATCAGAAACACGTGCATACAGGACAACTTAGAAAACTGCACACAACCTTCATTAGTCTTTCACAATCATACAGTCAGTGGGGAGTGTTGAGAGCAGAGCGCTTGTGCTCTGAAAAGGTTGCAAGTATCCGGTTCGATTCCACAGCCTGCACTCTGGGTCCCTGAGCAAGACCCTTAACCCCACTCTGCTCCCTGGGCGCCACACAATGGTAGCCCACTGCTCCCTAAGGAGATGGGTTAAATGCAGACAGTGAATTTCTCCAGAGTGAGATCAATAAAGTTTAATTATGACATTATTCTATGTTAGCAAATTTCCTACACAGTCTATAAGTATTCCATCCTTCCATCTAGCATCCATATTTAAAGCCTGCCCGTTGGACACATATCAGATTCATTTCAAACATTTGTATTCATTTTGAAATTTAAAAAGAATTGAAAACCTTAGAAATTGGCTTTGACTTGAATGATATGTAGGAAAACATTGTTAGAAATAATATATTTATAGTATTTATTTATTTATGTATTATTATATTAAATTATGTATTTATTGCACTCTATTTATTTTTGTATCACCACCATTGACCATGTTGTTTTATTGAGCTAATTTAGGGCTGCATTTCTTTTTAGAAAAGACTGAAAGAAGTTATACTGGAAACTGAAAACAAATTTGGAAACTGAATATTTCTCAAACTTAGAAAAGATTAAAAACTGAAAAAAAAAATGGAAATAAATGAAGGAAACCGAAAAAGAAATGTGAAACAAAATTTTTTTTAAACTGAATATTTCTAAAACTTAGAAAAGATTAAAAACTGAAAAAAAAATGGAAATAAATGAAGGAAACTGAAAAAGAAATGTGAAACAAAAACGTTTTAAAACTGAATATTTCTCAAACTTAGAAAAGATTAAAAACTGAAAAAAAAATGGAAATAAATGAAGGAAACTGAAAAAGAAATGTGAAACAAAAACGTTTTAAAACTGAATATTTCTAAAACTTAGAAAAGATGAAAAACTGTAAAAAAAAATGGAAATAAATGAAGAATTTGAAACTGAAGAAATGTTCATAACTATTTTTCAATCCTATGGATTTTTCCTTTTTGATTTTAAGTTTTTTTTTTTCACGTACAAATTGTTCACCCCTTAGGCTAGTGGGTGGGCTTTAGGTGACATGAGGTGTGGAATGATGCTAGAGTTTAGGTGCCTGGATAAAATATTACTAGCTGTTACATTCGGGGGTTGTGGGAATTAGTTGTCTTTAAAGTATTTCTTTCTTTCAGTTTCATTTTTTTATAGTTTTCAATTTTTTTTCAGTTTCAGAATAAGTTTTTTTTTTTTTTTTTTTTACAAACTTAATGGCCCTAACTTAGCTGCATATTTCTTAATAAAAGTTTCTTACCTCTGATGAAATGTTGTTTTTTTCACTTATATTTAACATTTTAAGCAATGATGTCAAATTATACGTTCTGCTTCCTCACAGTAGTTCTACATGGAGTTCTGCTCTTTAAATTCACCTGCCAAACACAACAGAAGTCAGCTTTGTATTTTGTCTTTCTAAGAAATAGGTTTCAGGTTGAGAGACAGACAATCGACAATCCCTTCGTGGTTCTGCCGTGTCCTTTAGGAAAGATTAAGATTAAACTTTGGCTCCTCTTTGCTCTCTGATTCAGTCGGCCTGTTTGAACCTCTGCTAATAGAAGCGGACAGGACCACCTGGGCCAGATTAGACCGGCATATGGAGCCTGATTTCCTCACCACAGAAACATCACGCCTCAAGGAGAAAGACAAGCTGTTAACTGCACTATTAAAGACAAAACCAGACCAATTAGAGGTGAACCTCTTCTATTTATGGCAACAAATACCATTATAAAGAATCCTGCTCTTTTTTTCCCCACAGTAATAATTAATCATATTTTAAAGGTGTATTTTAACAAAGGTTTTAACTTCTAAAAACTATCTTTGAGGATGGGCCAGTTTTAAAGTTAATACAAGATCATTGTTCTGATAGGACACGAGGTTCAATCAAACTGTCTCAGATAAAATTAATCGTGTCATAATTATCAGGCCCTGATAACATACCTGGGCAGGTGTATAAGCAGTGTGCAGATCAGCTGGCTGGTGTCATCACAGACATTTTTAACGCCTCCTCTTCCCTCCATTAAAGACATTTCATCCCAGCGCTGCCTGTCCTGACCCCTAACCCCCCCACCCTCTGGGAAGAGACTTCGAAGCATTGGATGCAGGTCCAGCAGATTCCAGAAAAGATTCTTCCCCACCGCCATTAGACTGCTGAATGTTTTGTAGAATAGGTTATTTTATGTATATAAAATAATTGTTTAGAACTGTAATTATACAGTCATATGTTTATATTGCTAGTTTTGTTATGTATTTATTACTGTTTTCAAGGCTGCACTTTAAAATATGAAATTGTCTAGAGCTGTTCTAAAGGAAATTTCTTTTTTACACTCCTTTTTTCTACTGACTGACTAAATCAATGTCCTTTCTGTCGGAGTCTGTGTAGCATACAGTGCTTGTTGGTCTGAAAGTGCGTTCCTTCCTTCTTACTTATTTATTTACTCCGTACTAACATTTTTCATTAAAGGCAAAGCAAGTTTATTTATATAAAACCATTTCAGTGGCAAGACAAAAAAGATAAAAATAAAATAAAAATAGGTGAATACAGTTGATCTGAACTAGTTGATCTGGAGCTAAAGGATCAACTGAAACGTTAACGATCCCTGAGAGAGTTTAGGTTTAGAACTGAAACAGCGGCTGATCTGAGATCCAAGATGGAGGTCAAAGGTTTGTTTCTTTTTTTTTTTAAGAAAAAACATTTTTTTAAGTTAAAAATACTGAGCCTAAAGACAGTAAAGGTAGCCTCGTGAGACCATCCTGATCTTGCGAGCTTTCAAGGTTTCACTCGCTCATCAGTCTGGAGACTCTCCGTGGATATTGAATGGTGATTATCTAGGGGATCATTTGGAGTGGGTCCATGGTAAACAGGATTATAAAAGTGATGTTATTGGTGTGTGGGGGGGGCTTTGTGAAACCTTCAAAATTAGTCATTTGAAAATAGAAGAATAAGAAAAGAAGTTGGTTCTGTTTACATCTTGTGTTTGTTGAAGGATTTCCTTCCTAGATTCTATTCTATGTTGTTGAAGCTTTTCTTATGCTATGTTCACACCGCATTCGCTTTGGGCAGCAGAAGCAGCTGGTTTACTTGCAAAGTCTATGGTTGACGCATCTTTGATGCTCCTGAAGCTCATCTGATATTAATGTGTACAAGCTACAAAAATGAAATAGCAACTTTTTTGCTGCCCAAAGCATGCGCAGTTTGAACGTAGCATTACAGTTTTTGTGTTCCTCATTGCTACAGGCTAAAAAAGGGCCATTCATGATTAAAATAACTTAACATAAGGTTAGGTTGTTTTATAAAACCAACATTAAAACAGGTTTGGGAGAGGGCTGTTTTATCTTTCTATATTTGTGACACAGAGAAAAATGTCTTAACATGTTCATTTAAAACAAAAACAAAAAAACAAAGAAAAAAAACATACCTCCTGGAGATGAGATAAAGACAAAACTAAGTCCACTTTGACTTGAGGCATTGGGGATCAAAAGTTATCAAAGGAATTTTTCTACATCAAAGCATGTGGGCGTGGCCAAGCGTCAAACTTGGTCATTAGGCAGGGAAACAAAGGGTAAGCCCCATGCCATGTTAAGACTGAGAGATGTGAAACTTGGACCACTCATGTAGCCCCTCAGAACCTACAAAAAAGCCTCTGGGAGCCATGTTCCAAAACCCACAGGAAGTCAGCCATTTTGAATCAAAGCCATCATTAGCTTTTTCGCCTTTATATTGTATGTTAGCTAACTCCTCCTTAAGCGATTGAGCTGCAAACTTCTAACTTGCTGAGCCTAGACTTAAGACATAAGGGATCAAAAGTTATCAAA